GCTTTTGGAATGAAATTTGCATGTTATCCCTGTGCCTGCATGAATTCTCTCTAGGTGTTATAACTTCCACCCACAGTTCAAAAACACAACTGTTTGGTAGATATGTCTGTCTGTATGTTTGTCATTATGTGTAAGTGTGTATGTGCACGGTATGTCCATGGTAATAAGCATACATCTTTATTTTAACTATGCAATGAGTACTTGTAAGCTAGCAAGACCCACCGCTATAATGACCTTGAAAGAATAACAGATCTTTATCGCAGAGCCATTTGGCACCTGTTCTTTATTTTTACTTTATGTGCTTATAACCCTCCGATTACCATCTCAACAGTGAAAGATGGGATTTGGCCTGAGTTTATAATGACTGACGTACTGAAAGTTGTCAGTCTTTCAGTACTTTGAGTGCTGGTGTATTCTTCTTTAAATAGACCAGCACCCAATTTTTGCATTTTTGATAATGTTACAGCCATAATTCAAAACATATATCCGGGTGACCTGCACATACTTCTGGTCATTGGAGTTCTAAACTACTTTTAATACATAAAAGAAGCTTTTGTGTGCAAAACTGGGGATAATCTTAGATGCTCCTTACAAGATCAGAGCTGCTGAAAGTCAATGGAAGACAGTTGTGGTTCTACCCGCTGTTTAAAAGTGTAATTAAAATTTAACCTAAATCCCAAGTTTCTCCATAATATTTAATCTGTTGTGCAAGACACCCAAAATACACCTCAAAATGCTTACTCAGTAGCTAATTATAGATTTTTTCTGTCACATAATGACGATATGCTGACATGGTTTCAGTCTTTAACTTGCACAAACATGTACATGTAATCAGCAGCCATCAACTTTTAGCAACGTATAGAATATTAACACACTGAAAGTATGTCAGCATATTATCATGACCTGACAGGAAAGAAAACTATAATTAGTTGTCGAATGCATTTTGAGGTGTATCTTTGGTGAGTGGCACAACAGCATAAATAACATGGGGAAACTTTGGATTTAGATTACATTTTAATTGCCCTTCTAAGGAGTGGGTAGAACCATAACTGTGTCCCAGACACTGACTTTCTAATCAAGGGCAAGACATCTGGTCATCTGGCCATTCACAGTTTTGCACCCAAAGGCTTTTTGTTGTTATTGAAATCTTTTGGATAGAGTTGGTTGACATCATATGGTTAATTTTGGACAAAGTGGTATGTGCTACAGCTCTTTATGTCACTGAGGAGTTAATTGATGTTTGAATGGTGAGCTGACCATTACTCATAATTTATTGATGGCATTAGAAAAAAGATGATTAGGTAAAGTTGACATTCACACTTCAACATTTTGTTGTGTCTTGCTCTTTTTGAGCTGTTTTTAGCAACAGTTTAACTTCATACACATGCAGTCATCTAAGTCTGTTTACTCTTCCTCATACTTTCAAACAAGAAATTCCATTGCAAACACTTAGTCAGGGAGAACTTTCTTGACTCATTTCTGCTTCTTTAAACAAATTCTAGCTGGGCAACTTAAAGAAAGTTGCCTGAACAATAACACAAAACTGCAAAGTATACTGCAGATACTGGTTGCTATACGGTCAATAAAATACATTGCTGGTTTAATTATAGTCTCAAATGTACATAAGTCTGGCTTGTCACACTCCTTCATAACAAAGAAGGGGAAGGAACTAATGAGCCAGTTTATAGGCTAGAGATTACATTCTACAGGCTCTCTGCAAGATCAACTTGCAGACAACTGTACGTTTTTAGGTTTTTGTCCAGGAAATTATATATTTGCATGCTTTGCATTCGCGTTCAGATATTTTAAAAAAGAACACCGGGTCCTTTCATAGGACAAGATCATAAGACATCATCATAATGCCGCAAGGAGGAACTCATCCTTCAGTTACCTCTGGGCACTCATAAAACATCAGTCAAAATAGCCATGTCTTATGCATATGTGAACTTGGAGAAGCCACATTGGAAAACCAATTGAGGTGTCCAGTGAAACTCAGCTGGGTCTGTATGAAGTGCTGCTCAGTGTGCTGAAGTGATCCATTTCTAAAAGGTCAACCACATTAGTAGCATATCTCACCTTATCGACTTTATTCTATTTTCAGTTACAAGAGTTAGAAAAGAAACCACTCATGGTGTTAAGTCTCTGTGCACTTTATTGTGACTTGTCCAAAGTATGTTCATGGGAAAAAACAATGTTCATGATGCATCCACCGCACAACAATTTCCGAATCAAAGTTTTGTACAGTTAAGCCAAAAATGATTCATACTTTTGGCATATTTAGGCTTCAACTTATTTTAATTTAGTATTTTAGTATTTGATGGAAAATTATATGTGTCTTTCAAAAAAATAATAAAATATCTTTGCTTGTGACTTGAATTCTGCTTATTAAACTCATACACACAATAAAGACATCTATTTTGAAATCTGTGAGGGGAGGTTGTATTTACATTGGCAACCGGCTGGGATTCCCATGTGCTTTCCAATCAAATGGTCATGTGTACTGTTGCGCTATGTTTTGCATGTGTGGGAGTGGTATGCACCAAGCCGTGATTATTCACGTCTTTGATTTCCTCATTCCAAAATTTCCAGACAAGTGTCAAACCCAGAATAGCAAACATTTCCAAAAGTCTGATCTGAAATCTCAAAATCTGTTTGTCTGTGTTGTGGACAACGATGCTTTCAAATCTATTGTACAGTTGGTGCAGTTAAAAAGGAGCCATAGTTGACTTACTTGTGCAGCTCAGACAAAAACATTTTTTTTTTCTTTTTGTACTGAGAAAGTTTTCACCATAATGCTTGACAATGTGTAAGCTTGAAAAACGTTAGTTCATGAAAGAGAAAGATGCTATCTTATTGTGTATCTGCACAAATTAATTATGAAAACATTTTGCCTAATAAGTTCATAATTAAAATATTAGAAGACACAAAGTGAAACTAGCAAAGCAATAACTTTCAAATTGAACTACACTGTATTGAATTTCTTTATAGAATAAATTTTTGTGCAGGCAAAAAACTGGGCAATGGAAAAGACAAAGGCTTTCTGAAACAAAAGCATAGAATATTCAAAGCTTGGGAAAACTTCTCTTCACAGAAAGTACATTTTCACAAATGAAATAATTCTGACACTAGTTAATGGCAGAATATGTTTAGAACATTATATTTTTTAGAAACACACTTTATACTAATATCTTAGCTTGTCTTAGCTTAGCAATGTGGTGTTTAAATATATCCATAGATCGCACCTTATTTACACTGTGCATTCATACTTGAAATTCCAGCTATGACGCTATAACTTACGGCTAAAGCTCTCCTTCAGCAAATCACAATGCAGGAATGCAGGAGGGAATTCACAAGAGTTGCACCCTGTGCTCTCACAAGCTCCTACTTGCAGTGAAGAAAACAAATACCTACTGTTTGGGCTCCTGTCATTGTGTGGTTGGCTTAAAGGAATCTCCACTTGACATGCCACCGTTGAAAATAGTGACCTTACCACAGCTTCAGGTGTCACACTTAACACAAACAGATTACTACATGGACAATCCAAACATCCACACCAGTACAAACATGTGTAAGCAACAGTTTTAAACCATGGCTTGCACACTCCTCTATGGAAGCAGTTGGTGACTATGTGTAACGTGATTATTATGTCAGCTTTTGTCTGCAGGTGTGTCTGAAAGGTATTGTTTTTCAGATAACCTTTTGCTGCTGGAGAACTAAGAAAAAAGCAGAGTTGGTGTTTGTTTTTAAAGAGAGACGGTGACTCTTAAACAAATAGTTATTTTAGCCGAAACAAACTCCCAGGGAAATATATGACTATGAGGATAATTTGTTGAAATAGTAAAAAGACCTAAACATTAGCTTTAAGGACTTTAAGGCAGAGTTCAGACTTTAATTGGTTTGTTTGGTTTGTAGCCTGGACTCAAATTGTCTAAAACCGAGGCTTTTCATTTAGAGGGAACATAAATCATTGGAAGCAATTTGTCATCAATCATCTTTTTGGCACTGAGCATCAAGACGAACATGACTCAGTTTTTTGTAGCACTGGTTTCTACTCTGGTCGTGAAAGCTACAATCTACAGCTGATAGATTTGATGTGGCAGATCATGAGTGTATTGAACTGTCTAAATATTGATGGCACAAGCTGCACTTCTGTTGATTTGTTTGAATGTCATACTAGTAAGTTTAAAAGCTACTCTGGACTGTAGGAATTTTTACAGTGCTTTGTGAAAATATTCACACCCCTTGAATCGTTTCACATTTTCTCCTGCTACAAAGTTAATCGTGTTTTATTAGCATATTGTGTGAAAGTAACATGTTTATGAAGTAAAGAGAAACTGAAACATAGTTTATTTTTTCAGCAAATAAAAATCTGAAATTTGTAGTGAGCCCCCTTTCACTCTGACAGTTCTAACTCCTCAATAAATCACAGTGCTCCCAGTTGCCTTCAAGCCAGGTTAGATTAAAATAATTTCTCAAGCTGCAAACATCTCACGAAGCTCAAATTTATCATGTGAAACTGGAAAAGGTATAACATAACCACAACCCAGACATGAATTTTCTAACTGAAGGTGGTGACATGACAATGAAGGCATTAATAAAGATATTTGTTCAAAAAGCACATCAAAACTTTGAAGAAGCTCCCTCGATCAACTGTTGATATTAAGGTTAAGCACCTATCTTACAGTAGAGAGTTACGCCCCCTGGTTGTTACAGGTGAGATAATTCTAGAGTGTTTGACTGAATACCTTCAGCAGGTACGGTGCAGTGTGTGTTGAGAGAGGTCTCTTTATGTTTGTTTTATACCACATGATCAGTCAGTATTCATTTCTTTTGTTATTCTATTCACTGTTAAACTTGCACTCTATTTGTAATACCTGTTCAGATGGTAACATGCATTTTTCTTTTAAGCATAAAGCCCCGCCTTTTTTGGGGTTGGTCCTTAGGTGAGGATGATATAAATAATAGTACGTGGAGTAAAGGTGAAATGGGCTGTTGTGCTCTGGCAGGTATGACTGGAAAGACACCGGCCCTGAGAGACTCTCCAAGGCACCGCGCGTCTTGACGCACAAACCACTTTTACGCAAACAGCTTTTCTGCGTTTTACGCTGGATCTTGCAACTCTGCACCTCTATCAGCATGAAGTTAGAAGTGTTGTGTGGAAACCATGACACGACGCAGCTTCAGATCCCCATGGATGAAGAGGGGAAAGAAAAGTCCGCTCTTTCTGCAGAGGAGGAGCTGGGGTCCGATGGAGACTGCGTGGCACACAGCCCTCCACTGGTCACTCCAGGTGGGAGCAGCAAATCGAAACCATACACACGGAGACCCAAGCCCCCTCTTTCCTACATCGCTCTGATCGCCATGGCTATCCGAGATTCCCCCACCGGACGTCTGACTTTGGCGGAAATAAACGACTACTTGATGAAAAAGTTCCCTTTCTTCAGGGGCAGCTACACCGGCTGGAGGAACTCTGTGCGACACAATCTGTCTCTGAATGACTGCTTTCTGAAAGTACTCAGGGACCCATCCAGGCCCTGGGGAAAAGACAATTACTGGATGCTCAACCCTAACAGCGAGTACACGTTCGCTGACGGGGTGTTCCGGCGCAGGAGAAAGCGCATCAGTAAGCAGTTCAACCGAGTGCAGGACTTGTCGGAGAGCACAGAGGATCCTCAGGGTACCGACAAGCCTGACCCAAGCAGCAAGACTGAGCCCCGTCCCAAGTTTACAAGCTCATTTGCTATTGAGAGCATCCTCAGCAAGCCTTTCAAAAGAGTCTCAACCAAGCAGCCATTTTTCCCTGCATTTATCTGGCCTTACTCTGACCTCATGCTGCATCACTCAGGCGCATCTGCTTTCCCCCCCTCCTTTAGCTGGGCTGCTCGTTGAACCTGGTGCTGGAACGCTTTTCTTATGAACAGAACAAAAGACAGACTCACATTGTTATTGTTTTTGTTTTTCTTGTTTGAGAATTTAAAGTCATCAGTGAATGATACTTTAATTTATTACCTTATTGATGCTGGCATGTTTTCTTTTATTTTTACCTTTACATGCTGCCTTTTCTTTATTTATTACTTTGTTGACAACAATTAATTGTAAATATGACTGCGTACAGTACACTAATACTTTTGTTATTTGATAGGCAAAATGTCTCAAGATGCACTTTGTTTTCTTTGTCAAAACCTCTCATAAAAATATTTTAAAACAGCAAAAATAAAAAAAAGTAAAAACAACAGTACAACGATGTAGTTGTGTGTTTTATTGGAACCAATAAAAAGTGTTTATTTATTTGTTTGCTTGTTGATATAAAACTAGCAAATTTTGATGAAGTTCATTTTGAATGTTGCATTATTACATCATTTTTTCCATCCATCCATCCATCCATCCATCCATCCATCCATCCATCCATCCATCCATCCATCCATCCATCCATCCATCCATCCATCCATCCATCCATCCATCCATCCATCCATCCATCCATCCATGGTCTTAAAATTATAGCGTCAATCTCCTGTGTCTTGTACTTTTTAGATGCTGGTTCAACACACTTGAGTCAAATAATCAGGTAATTATCAAGAGTACTGATGATGTAATTAGGTTCTTTGATTCATGTGTGTTGGATCAGTAGTACATCTAAGATTTGCTGGACATCGGATCTTGAGGGCTAGATTTTGAGACCCTTGGTCTATTTTCCAGGGTCTCAGAGGCCTGGTATGTCCAGCAGTGGGTTAAAAGGGTTACACAATGGACAGGTTGCCATTCCATCCTGGTCAACAATGCATATATCTTTTTTGAGTATCACCTGACACATGAACATCAGTGAACCTCTTCAGTCCACCCTCTCAGAATAAAATAAAAATAAGAGGTAAAATCTCTTTTTTTCTCTTTGTTTTTGTCTAATACTAAATGAGTAAATGACTGCACAAACTGTCAAAGATGTCATTTTTGCAACATAAGATATTTGGTTATCAAATGTGGACAGAAATGCTTTGAAAAGTGAAGCGTGGGTGGGGATTAGTCTTGCTCTAATGCGCTGTGTCCGACTCCTTGTCTGGATCTCGGCCAGTGGGGCAGGGAGTATTTCCTGATTTCTTGCAGGGATTTGGGGGGAAACGCAGGATGCGTAATGGGGCTAAGGACACAGAGGAGAAAACGGATACGTAGTCGAGTTCCATTTGACCGGGTAACAGATGCACAAGTTAAGTGGAAGATCTTTATTCCTCCTGTCTATAAGGGATCATTGCCAACATGGCCAGTGAGACGAATGACGGCAGAGGACCGCTTATTGCCACGGCTGTAAACCTCGTAAAGCAGTTTAAAGGAACTTCTTGAAATGCTGCGTCAGGAAAGCGGAGTAAGCGACGTTACACAGGGAAGCGGGAGTGCTCGCATTCAAACAGAAGCGCGAACATGACTGCTGAGATGCCTCAGCAGCAACAGCTGGATCCCTGTGATTCTGCGCGCTCCTGCGCCGCGCTGCTCAGCCCGCGGCCAGACCTGGAGAGCGCTCAGGGCGCACTTAGAGGAAAAATGTCCACCACCAGCTTGAGGCGCCCTGAAAAGCCGCCCTACTCTTATATCGCACTCATAGTAATGGCAATCCAAAACTCACCGAGCAAAAGAGTCACTCTGAGCGAAATCTATCAGTTCCTGCAGGCCACATTCCCCTTTTTTAGAGGATCGTACCAGGGCTGGAAGAACTCCATTAGACACAACCTGTCTCTAAACGAATGCTTTATAAAACTGCCCAAAGATCTAGGAAGACCTGGAAAGGGTCACTACTGGACCATAGACGCAGGAAGCGAGTTCATGTTCGAGGAGGGGTCCTTTCGCCGCAGACCGCGAGGATTCCGGAGGAAATGCCAAGCTATGAAACCAGTGCACAGGATGATGAATGGCATCGGGTTTGGCGCGTCCATGCTGGCGCAGAACTTTGACTTCCAATCTCCTCAAGTCTCAATATCATACCATAGTAACTACAACTTAGATTTAGTGGGTAGTGCAGTTCAAGGGGGATTTGAGGGACTTGGAGTAGGCCATCACATCCCGCATATTTCATCCACCTCCCTGACATCCTACGTGACGGCATGTGAAGCAGCATCTCACACCAATTATTGCCCAGACGGCAGCAGCAGCAGTCCCTTGCACTCTTCATCAAGGACAAGAGCCACTCTGGACTCTACGCGTGCGTATGAAAATGCCGCCTCGCACTGGAATGCACCCGGTGTGTCCTCACACAGAAAACAGCAAGTTCTGCCATCAAGCCTCAGCAATACCTGTGCAACTTCACCTTATTTTTTGCCTCAAATCCATTTTCATCATAACACACGAGAATCATCCGAGGTGGCAGGTAGAAAATCCACTTAAAGAAAACTGTGATGTGATGCTGATATCTACGCTGTAGTTTATTCACTTATTTGGTGTTGGCTTGTCTTAAACGAGTTTAGAATTTTTGTCCAGTACATTTTTAATTTTGAATTGAAAATTTGGAGAAATAGCCTATTATTGATATTTTCCGGTAGTGTGTTTTAAATATTTGCTTCAATTTTTTGGGGGCATATAATGTTCTTAAACATTTCAGAAAATATCGAATATTTTTACTGAAAGTCTTCCAAAAACGACGATGATTAACCCTAGACGTCAGGACGTCATCCTGTCGGTGAATTATAGACGCTTCATCATTTGTGATGCGTTTCAATTTCAATAATTTAATTCCATTTAAAAAAGTACCTATCATAAAATGTTTAAAAAAATGAATAACAGATGAGTGAAAAGGAAGCTATATAAAATGCTTGAAGAGAGACCTGGCTATATTTCAGGGCCTCAAAACTGTTTGGTGCAATTGGAGAAGATTTTTAATTATCTGTGACCTTTGGTACGTCCTACATATGCTGCACTTACTATGTATTGTCCCTATTTTTGTCATAAACAATACACACAACTATAAAAATACAGATGAGATGCAACAAAGTAGCAAATTATTACGCAAGTGACGCAAGTTATATCACTATGTGGACACTCAAACACAAGGAGACAGAATTATTACCTTTTAATTTAGCTTACATCTAATTTGCATATATTTAAGATTGAATTTTAATTAACATTGCCAAACATTTGACTTATTTTACTATTTTAGGCATGTTTAAATTAAAAAAGTTTTATTCTACAAGCTGCTTAAAACATTAAAAGTTATGAGAAGCATAGTCACTTCTGTAATTCATTTGCAAAAAGAGAGAAAATATTACAATAAACAAGTAAAAAAAATTTTTTTTTTAGCCACAAAAATAAAACATGAAAAATCTGTTGGCATTTTTTTTTTAAAGCTGCCCTTCAAAAATGCAGCGTGGCTTTGCCATGAGTTTCAACACCACCTCACACACATGCTGATCCCGACTTTGGTTCTGTTTGTTTCCAGTGGGATATCCTCAATATTCCAGCCCCTCAGCTGTTCAAGTGCCGGAAAGGAAGGAATTCGTTTTGAACCTAAATGGCACCTCTTCCTTCCATCCGAGCACCGAAGAATCCGATTATCCTCGGCTTCATCACCACCACAACCACAGCGACTGCCAGGACGTAAAGCCGAGTGTGCCTCGATGACCACACATCATAGCCCATCTGCTCTTTCTTCTCCTTCCATTCAATGATTGTCTTGCTTTCAGTCTTAGACTCTTTCTCCTTTTTCTACACCTGAAAAATACAAAATATGATTTATCTTTTGAAATCTATTTGAAATACCCAGTTTTTTATGCTTTTTCAGTTGAGATGTCATTTGATCAACTTGGCGCTCCATGAAACTGTAAAGGTCAAATCCTTCAATCCCATTGTCTTGTTCTGCACTGCCATCTTGAGGTGTCTAAATGTAAAGACAGGGTTTCGTGGCACTCAGCAACGGCCAAGTTGCAATAAAATATCTGGCAGAAGAGTCGTTAATGATGCGTGCATGCTTCTACAAGAACTTCTGGTTTTGTTGAACTGGTATGTGCAGATGCAGAAGTGTGAGTGCAGCTAGCTGAAAGTCAAAGGACGAAGCTGTTCTCGAATCATAGTTAAAACATTCTGAAAGCAATGTTATTTATTTTCTAAGAATTGTGCAACAACCTGCTTTTTTCCTGTGTGTAGTACTGGAAGTTAGAATCTTAATTTTCAGCTACTGACATCTAACTTTCATGATAATTATTGTAATACACCAGAAAATAAAGGTAATGTATGATGAGTTTGTCCATCAATTGCATTTCATTGAATTCCCTTTTTAATCTCTTCATGTGTTTGCTTCAGTCTTTTGTCCTTACAGTGTTTTCAGGTGGTCAAAATATGATTTAGAGTGACACTTCAAATAGCCTCTAATGAAGAAAAAAAGATAACCGAGAGTAGAAAATGTTCATGTTGAACATGTTGATCTGTACTGAATTGGTAAATTGCTCCCGGGTGAGTCCTGAATTTCTCCAATATAGGTCAATGTGTGAAACATTATATCAACCAATAATCAGCCAGTTTCTGAAATAGCTCAAAGGTATGGCTCATGAACAATCAACTGCCAATCAAGCATAATGTACGTGGGCGGAGAAAAGCACAGTGTTACAATTCTGTCAATAGGAGGACAAAGATTTTGATGTGATCAAAAGCAAGAGAGAAGAGGAGGGAGAGGAATGAGGCTGTGGCAGAGAAGTTAGGAGGCAAAACACTGGAAGAAGCCAAGGACATATATGCTCCAACTGTGAGCCACAACAAGATGGTGATGCCATTCCTCTGACTCTACTACTCATTAATTAAACCCACTGAGTTATTTTCTTCAGTATGGAGATGAAGAGCACAGGAGAATTGTATTGTGTTCTTCCAGCTCTCATAACTTTCTTATTCTTGGGTTTTAATTTTGTTTTACATTTACTGTATTTTGCATGTTATTTACAGTATTTCATTTGAAAGTCACAGTTAAAATAAATAATGCAGTCAATAAAATTTACATTTAAGCATTTCTGATTCTGGATCCAACTCTTTGCAAGAAGGAGAATTTGGCAGTGTAAAGGGTAAGGCCACTGAACAATTATTTCATGTAGCCTTGTCCTTTACACAGCTGAAATGATGAACTCTTTCTGCTATGATCGCTATTCAATCAGTCTCCTATCAAAAATACTCCCAGGGTTTTGCCGGCAACATTGGCAATGGAGTATCTTTAGATCTAGGCCATCAAAATTCCAACTTTATGTCATAATTATTTTTATTTTTCTTTGCCCAGACTCT